AAATTTACCAAAAGTTTTCTTTTGTCAACGTTTGGGAGTTCGATGCATGAGAGGAAGTTCGTAAACGTTTCGTGCCAATGGATCCATTGTTCTGAAGCAGAAGAGGATTGGGGATCGGCGTCAAACCGATCTGGGCGAAACAATCGTTCCATTGTGTTTTGATAGAAGATTAAATTGTTGCGCACTCGAATGATTGTGCCAGAAACAGAGAACGAGGATTGCCGAATGATTGGCTTTAATCTTCTATCAATTTCAGTACATCAGCTAAAACATTAGGAAACACAATTAGCTCAACGAGTAGCGAGTAAAAAGTTAAACACAACGTCAATATATAACACGGAGAAGTCTGACTCAGTACATCATCCCGTATGTACCCATTCAAACAATGCCGGGATGGATGTCATGATTTTGTGTGCTTATTAGTATACTCACCCTGTATACTCGTATTGAACGTTTTTATGTACATTTCCGCTCATCAAAACTTTCTTAAACAAGTAAAATGTTGTTCATCCTCGATAACCCGGACTCTGATTTAACTCGTTCTCAGATACATTCTAGACGTCTCACGTGCGCACCAGACTTCACGGTCGGCTCGCACGCTCACTTTCACCTAACGTCTGATAACTCCTGGTAACCGAGTTATGTTCGGGAGAATCGGGGATATTTCCCCGAGATTTAAGTAGTCGTTTAGCTGTAACACCCTTTCGGTGCTAGGCTGCCGTGCTATACTAAGGAGGCACGAGGGCTGGGGTACTGCCAGGTCGCTCTAGCCTGGATAGGGGAAGTCGATAGGCGGGGTCGGATTTCGAACCACGGGCCTTCCGGTTAGTAAATTCGCACTCCAACCACTTGGTCCAACTCGCCCCCACTGGTTGGTCTGATATCCTGTGCTTGGGTGCGCCTGGTAGGGTAGGTGGCAATCTCGTCCCAGTATGAGTCCACATCTGATGGAGGAGCATTTGGAAGACTCTAGATGAATCTGGTAAATTCGCCGTTCTGGTAAATCCGTATCTGCCAGCCTCTCAGTTGCCATGCGATTGGTCCGCACCTTACGCGGCTCTGGAAAACGTAGGAAGGAGCGACTCCGGACGAGCGCGTGGTCAGAGTCCACAAATGTGCTCCAAAACGACCGGCAGTCAGTTACTGATCCACGCCATAGGTAACTGACGGCATTGTGGTCGATTTGAGTTTGTGGGCGGCCTGCCGTTGGAGGACACCAAGTGGCCAGACGACTTCAGCTATTTCGGAAGGTAGTACTGCATGAAAACAGCCTGCGATCAGCACACACATGAAGCAATCGTTCCCCATCGTCTGTACGTACCGAGTCCAATTCATGTTGACCTCATGATTGAGTCTCAGATAAACTAAGCCTTCCAACTTGTGCACTCATATCTCCGGCAACCACCACAATGTATGAGCTTTTAGCTCGCCAAGGCAGGGCATTCAGAGCGTCGTAAAACCCGTCTTTGACGGCGTCGGAGCTACAGTCAGTTGAGGCGTAGGCAGACACGATAAACAGACATCTACCAACATGCCGCTTGTGAGACTCACAGACGTTGCCAGACAAATCGCACAGAGGCGACTATCAACAGGTATCCAGTCAAGTTGTTATATCTAAACAGTAAACGTCAACTTTGGGTTGTCTAAACAATTACGGGGACCTTATTGGAACTGTACCAGTCTCCTAAACTCAATCACTTGATCATTAAAAATCGGGATGGAGTGAACATCGCGAATAAAGAAAAACGCCTCGCCCGATGGGCCGAATACTTTGAACAACAATTGTCACAGCCACCAGCTGTAAGTTGTTGGAAGTTGTATTAGTTCCTGTTGTAGTGTGACACAGGCGAATGCACGAATCTGAAAGATTCGGGTCGCGCCTGTTGATTTGAGACACCTATGGCGTCAAAGTGGTTTGTCCCTGAATCTCGAGAAACGTGTGCATCTAGCTACAGAGCGGGTTGTTTTGTTGTATGGCTGTGAAACTCGGCCTATTCAAGCAGCGGAACTAAGGCGTCTTCAGGTGTTCGACAATCGTTGTCTCACAACCATAGCTCGTGTGGGTTGCTGTCGGCGAGGCCGCCACGAGGCAGTTGGAAAGCGCGTTTTCGGTTGCGCAACGGGTACCTCTATTGAAGGTGTCCAGCACCAGTTGCTGCGTTGGTTAGGACATGTGTTGCGTATGCCGAGCCATTGTTTGCCGAAGAGAGTGCTGTTTTCCATGCCCAACTCAAAGTGGCGTAAACAGAAAGGTGGTCAACCCTTGACTTGGCAGAGCAGTATGAAGATCACGAAACGCTTGGATGATGTCGGTGCTACTCGCCCTCCAGGATGGGGACCGCGTGATCCTCACTGTGCCCGGCTGGAGACACTACAAGATATGGCTGTCAACCGATGTCAGTGGCGTTCTTGTTGTCAGTTTCTATCCAGATTGCCTGAGTGAATGTCTGGAGGTGTAGGCACCTCGGAATGATTGTGTTAAGCTCGCACTAAGTCCCTCCCCCATCCACCTTTACTTCTTTCTTTACAATAAGGCTTTCAAATAAGTCATGGTTGTACGGCATTGAAGCATCAGTGTTGAATACTGACGTCATGCTGTCGATGATGATGATGATGATGATGATGATGATGATGCCTAATGAGGAAAGTTTAAAGAAGCTGCATACTTCCGAACATTCTTTAAATCGGCCAGCTGAGACGTTAACGCATCCTCCAAAGAAAGCCTCGAACCCGAGTTGCAAGTGCCCTACAACGTCCAACGAGCGCATTTAGCGAGGGCATTTTTCAGCCCACACTTCAGTATATCGCCCAATTACTTCATGTATTGTCCGGATTATAGGGTGAGGTCATATGTCTAGATACGTGCTCGTGCACACGCATCATATAATCGATTAACAGAGCGCAAAAGGGCTGGAACATCGCACATTCTAGCACAGATTAGGCTGTTCGGTGCCATGGTTTGTCGCTTCTAACGAATAGAGTGTTCATCACCCTGACAGCGGTCGACCGACGTCTTAAATATACTCTTAGAGTGGTACCCGGTGGATTCCACCGGAATGCTGTTCTGATCATTCAACATGTGTCAGAAGTGTAGCTGGTGGGGGCAATCAGTTCTTTCTGGGCAGTAAAAGATTATGTTCAGTTGTTAGCGATGGGATATTGCATCGACACAAAGAAATAAAGCAGATTCCTATGAAAAACCAAACAGAATGAGGTTGTCGTGGAGCCTTCTAGGCAGCGGAGGTCTACATAATGAAATCATCTGTGTGCCCCAAAGGACTCCAGAGTGGGTGGTAAGGTGTCTCGAAAAATTAGTGATCATTTATCGCGGCTGGTCAATGTAAGTGGCGTGCGTGCTGTCAGTTTCTTTCGAAATTATTTGATCGCACTCCTGGAGGCGCAGGCGATGGGCCAGCACCAGGTCCCCTCCCTCACCAACTTTCTTTTCTTTTAACTCCAAGGCTTTAAATACACTTACACAAGCTTTGTAGTTACAAGGTAATGAAGCATCAGTATTGCCGTCTCTAAAGATGGTGATTCACCCCACCGAAGTACTCCCACGCGACCTGTTACCGTGTAGTCTTGACAAGTTTACTATGGTAGAGGAGCAGTTCCGCCGTACCCCGCGAGCTCTTGCTTCCTTGCGTCGCTTTTGGTTGTGAAAAGGTAAGACATGCGCACTAAAAATGCCAGGTGGTGATGGGGACACCAGCACCAATACCCATTAGACGATGCCACCCAAACGATGTTAAGGTGTCTCCACTAAGGGGTATATCTTCAGAAGTCTCGACAGCTGGGGAACGTAACGAGCAAACCAGAATTGCAAATATCAATAAACCACTCTTCATAAGTTTCTGAAATGTTGGAACCGTACTTGATATCGTCAGTCTCCACATACTCGGCTGTTGACCTAAATGTACCGATGTTCGCAGCACGAGGCCATCTTGGAGGCAAAAAAACATAATAGTTCAGCTGTAACATCCTTTTCGTGCTTAGCTGCCATGCCATCCAAGGGAAGCACGAGGGCTGAGATACTGCCTGGTTGCCCAAGCCTAGACAGGGGAAGTCGATGGGCAGAGGTCCCGTTCGAACCATGGACATTCCGGTCAAAATATTCACGACCTAACCGCTTAGCCAAGATAGAAGCATAGTGTTTGATCTAGCCGCCACATACTCTCCATTCGCTTCCTGTTGCGCACGCCTGACGATTCAGAGCTTTCTCCCGTTCGAACCATGGACATTCCGGTCAAAATATTCACGACCTAACCGCTTAGCCAAGATAGAAGCATAGTGTTTGATCTAGCCGCCACATACTCTCCATTCGCTTCCTGTTGCGCACGCCTGACGATTCAGAGGCTTCTGCGGCAGGATGTGCAGGGGTTGGTTGCGTCGAGCTAAATACTCACATATCGTTGGGGGGGCCGGAGATCTGAATATACAATTGGGCAGACATAGCGCATCAGGATTTACACGTGGATTGAACTCGCTATGTACGGACTATGGTGAACGACTGTTTCGACAGTGTGTTTACCGCAGCCCGTTTTTATGGAGCACCGAAACCGCCGAAGTCGTCTGGTCACATAGTGTCCTCCAACGGCGTGCCAGCAATGAGCTCAAATTGACCTCATTGCCATCAGGGCGAGATGACTAAGTGATTACAGCTCGAATGTACTGACCGGAAGGTCTTTGATTCGAACACGACCTCTGCCTCATGACTTCCCTGTATGGGCCTGAACAACCTGGCAGTATTCCAGCGCTCGTGCTTCCATCTAGTGGCATGGCAGTTAGGAACCGAAAGGGTGTTACAGATGGACGGTTTCATTTCCATTTCTTCCGTTGTATGACTTTGAAACCACACGTGTTCGACCGGCGAAACTGAGACGCCTTCAGATCTTCGACAACCGCTATCTCAGAACCATAGCTCTTGTAGGCTAGTGTCGGCTAATCCAAAACCAGGAAATTGGAAAGCGAGTTTCCAAATGTGCCACGGAGTTTCCCATTGAAAAACGGGTCCCGAACCAGAAGGTGCACTGGTTACGCCATGTACTGAGTAGTCTAAATCATCGTTTGCCCAAGACAGTGCTGTTTTTCATGCCCGATTAGAAGTCGTACAGGCAGAGAGGTGGCGAACCTTCGGCATGGAAGAGGGGTGTGAAATATGTTACGAAGTCTGGGTGCTGATGGCGCGATTCTCCTTCCCCTGTCTAGACCTGGGCAACCTGGCAGTATCCCAGCCCTCGTGCAACCTTCGGTTGGCATGGCAGTTAGGCACCGAAAGGGTGCTACAGCTGAACGATTGTTGTTGTTTGTTGATTAGGGCTCTGAACCAGAAGCCTGGCAATGGATGAATGCCAGCATACTAGCATGCCGGTACAAGTCTTTGGGGATAGTAGGAGGCTGTGTTCATCAGACCCACATCCAATGAATAACTCATTGATAAAATCTGAGTATCAGCGCTCCAGAAAGCTCAGCGATTGAGACGCGAAACTACCGACCAGAGGGTTCGTGGTCCAAACTCAATTCTAACTTTGCGATTAACCCTGACCAGGTAGACGGAGCCCTAACGATATTGCTACCAGCGTTCAGCTGTAGCACCCTTCCGGTGCCTAGCTGCCATGCCACCCGAAGGAAGCACGAGGGCTGGGATACTGCCAGGTTGCCCAAGCCTAGACAGGGAAGTCGAGTTGCGGAGGTCGGATTCGAACCACGAACCTTCCGGTCAGTAAATTCGCGCTCTAACCACTTGGGCCATCTCGCCGCATCTGATACCATGGCGCGGTAGACTCCAGTTTGACAACCGGATCTCTAAAAATGCCACATGAGCCTAGTGGCGACACACCACCCACCATAAATGGGTTTTGCGTACCACATGGACTCATGGTCGCATTTAGAAGTACGGAATTGGAATCGGAATGGAATCGTAATCATGTAACTCCGGTTCTCTGTGGATCGCACTAGAATGTGCACGGGCTAAAGAAGCCAGTCGAAAAACCGTCAGACACAGTAAGTGGGTGGGCGGATCCAGCGATCTTCCCGACGTTTTCGCTCTCTACACCCTCACGACTGCTAGGCAGTCTGCACTTGGTTACGCAAAAACTAGGGATTCACCCTCGGAAAAGAGCCGTGTGACGCTACGATGTCGACCGTATCCAAACTCTGATAGTACACCGCGATTAATCCCCAGATGCAAAGCTCAGTTCAGGCCTCGGCGTCTCCAGCAAGCGACATTCCCGACGCTAACCCAGCCGTCCAGGAGACAGGCGTCCAAGATGGGCTTCGCCCTTCATCGATAGCTCTCTCCCAGTCGGTGGCTCTAAGCTCCGCGTGTCTAAATCCAACGAAACTGGCTATTCGGTGTCTTTGCGAATGCAGGGGCCGGGGACGACCTTGCCACATACTTTGGTTGTAGGTTTCAAAGGTTCACGAACTGCGTAAAGGCAACCGCAGTTATTTTCAGTTTGAAATATTGTCCACCAATATGGGTCGTCTCTGTTAGGATGAAAAAATTCCAACTTACGGTGAAGTTTGAGACAGAAAGCCTCGGTGAAAGGAAACTACTGGTATTTACGTGGTATACTAGTTTAAACTTGATCGATCTCACCGTACGGTGATTCTAGCAACTACCGTTGTAAGGCTTACTGGCTTAGATTTCAAAGTTGTAAAACCAGTTGTGTCAAACGGTATTATAATGGCCATTTTCCGATCACAAGGTGTATTTCCTGTGCGTATGATAGGAGAAATCAAGCCCGGATTCTGCCAATACCGCTGCCAGATGGTAGTGTACACAGACCAACATTAGGCTTTAAGTCCGCCTGTAAAAATAACATCCCTGGTCCGCTTTACACGAGTACGTCCGGAGAGCTAGAAGTGATGAGGGATACATACTCAATGACTTCCGGTAAAATGGAAAACACTTATTCAACATTCACATAGGCTGGAAGATCAAAAATACCATACGCTTTCCAAACAAACAGAATCTTTTAACGGGTGGGCCACCATGCAGCAGCTAAAGTGATGAAACAATTTGATCGGGAATTTCGCCCAATACTTGCTTAATTACCTAATGAACATAAGGTAAAAATCCACGGACAGGAAACGCAGCGCGCACGCTCAATGTGACCGCTGTACAGGGCGAACCCAATGGGTAATTCAATTCAGTTCAGCGATTGGGGTGTTGATACGGGATGAATGTCAGGGCTTCCAGTGTAGAAAGTGTCGGTAGGTTTCGGCCGCCAGAATGTACGTCGGATGAAAAGGGGATTTGTGTAATGCGTTGTAAAAGTGCCTCAAAGGCTGGACGAGCATACAGTGGATCCTGTTCACATGAAACGTATTCAGGGATTCATGAATCGATACATTGGATCGGGCTTTCGCTCACGGATTCACGGATTCACGGATTGATACACAGGATCCGTGAATCCGTGAATCCGTGAGCGAAAGCCCGATCCAATGTATCGATTCATGAATCCCTGAATACGTTTCATGTGAACAGGATCCACTGTATGCTCGTCCAGCCTTTGAGGCACTTTTACAACGCATTACACAAATTCCCAAGGTAGGTTTTGTTCTTACCGTTTGGCGAATGCCGTTCACCTTAAAGGCGCAAGCGAAAAAATGGTGTAGCATTGCTCTTAAATGCTCAGCGTAGTAATCCGTATAAAAATTGTCCAATGGTGCTTTCAACTGGGTTCTAGATGGAGCGTGGACAACCGCCGGAGGAAGATTAGTCTACGCGGCTACCACAGTCTACCCGAAATGAGAAAAAATGTCTCATATAAGTGTGCGCTCTGAGCTTGAGTGTCTTCTTACCATCTCCCCGCCTTGTGTTAGCTGGGTCAGTGGTCAAAAACTGTTGGCCAAACCTTCTTCAAATGGGGCTTAAGTAGGAATCAGATCCCCTCGGAGGTGAGAATACTCCAGGAAAAGAGGTCAAGAGCCGCAAAACGCGCTTCTTAGTCCACGGATTTAAGGCCGGGCGCCACTTTCGTAGCAGCTCGCTGGACGCGCCCACTGACGGTAATGTCCTTCTTGCGTCCTAAGTAGACAGCCTGGTTGGCATATCAAGAAGCGTGAGAAGGTGCGCCGAATCATCCGTAGAACGGCAGATAACCTTTGGGCCGATTTCTGAAGGTGCAGTGAGGATGACATGTTTGAAGAGAGCCAGTTAACCAAATCCTTTTTGACATCTATTCTCGTGATGTCTTCTGGTCCATTCTCACCATGATTGACAGAGGAGTTCACCGAGTCTCCTCCGAATGACATATGGGCGCAATTTCTGTCATTCAGGGGAGGTGCCAGTCCAGCGACCACTGCTTTGCAGCGTCTACATCCATTTGCATGGCACTGGCGTTAAAACTCCATGTTTTCAAGTCGTCCGCAAAAAGTAGACATGGAAATGCGAGAACGTCTGGAAGGTCGTTGACGTATGCCGGAAACGGCGCTGGTTCCAAAACTGAACGTCAAAGAACCATAATGGGGATCTGCGCTGGACAAGTGTAGGTCGAGCCTACTTTCATTTCACTACCCCACTAAGAGAGCCTTCATCCGGCGTAGAGCTTCCCTTTGAATACCTTGCGGAAGAAAAGCACCAGGAAAGGGCAGATGTGACCTACCGGGTGAGTGTACTGTTTGGCTAATGCAAAATCTATATTCTTGTATAGCTGACTGCGAGTCCGAAATCATTTGCTTTTCCTCGGCTGTAAGTTCTGTTGCATAAAGGTATAAATGTATGGTGATAATCAGTTTTTCACATTCCACCGTATGGCATGCACGTATCTATACATTTAAGGTGTAAAAATTATCCAGCTTTGTACACAGTGTAAATTCAGTTCTACCGCCTCTCATGTATTATAGTCGGTGGTCCATGGAATCCTATCGCACAGCATTGTAACCCGCGGGTAGGACCAAGGTCCCGTGAGATATAGGAAAAGGTTTGCCCATCGCTGGTTGAAATTGGGCTACGCCTTGGCATTTGTTTGTCTTGACTGCCCGGCGAGTGCATGAGTAATGCACGAGCGCGCTGACCTCGGCGGCGCGCAAGCAGGATTACACTTAACTGCCTTGGAACAAATTGCATTTGGCAGCGCAAACCCGTGCCCCACAAACTGGAAGCACGCAGTTTCCAAGATGAAGTTGTGAGACAGTTCGTAAGATCATTTTCACGCAGGATCTTGTGGGTCTTAACCAGCTTAAATCACGCTACATCCTGAGTTCTCTAATTTGGAGAATCTACGTTGTCGATTTTTCGGGTAGTTTGGTGGGCCTGACTCCTCTCTTTTCCAGTAATCCTCGGCTCCGGAAGTCTGGGATCAATAAACCTAAAATAAATATCTGTTGTCCAACTTCCCAGCGCCGGACGGACATTCTCACATCAACAACGAAAAATGCACATATATCATTCGGTGGAGAGTCTGGAAACGCTGTCAAGATGCAAGCATTGGACGATATCATAGTTTGAAACAAAAGGGATTCCAGGGTTCTAGCTGATTTTTGTGATATCGATATCACTCTCAAGAACAAACAGCGCGCAAGTCGAAGTGCTTATGAAAGTGATAAACTATCCTGTCTCTGCTGGCGCCTTCGGGTTAAGAAATACCTTGTGGCGATTACGTTAGACGCCTGTGATCGCACTCCATTTTCGCAGTTTACGGTGGATTACGCAAGTAGTGCCGTATTGGAAGAGTGTAGGGCACAACTACAAGGATGGCCAATGGTCTTCGGCATTTGTAAGATGGAGGTAGCCAAGGAATGCTTGAACTCAACCCGCGGAGCCACGGACACCTGATTGGGAACCCGATAGTAAGTTGTTTATCTTTCGGAGGTTGCATAGGTGCATTATCTTTCAATTCTTTATCCGAAAACGACAAAGATGATGCAAAAGAGTGCTGTTAAAACTGAAGCCTATAAGTTTTTGTTGCAACGCTTTTCCTTGTCGTCAGCAGTAAGCGAATGCAGTAGTCTATCCCAAATTGCTAACGCCATTCACCTCCGGTAGATGTTTAACACATTTTGAGATACTTATTTATGTGGCCCCTTCTAGCTGACAAAAGCACCGTCTAGAGCACAGGATGCAACTATCACACTCAGCTCAACGTGGTCAATTGGCATATCACTCAAAATTTCGGAAAAGGTCCGCACTTGCACCAGGTCGATGGTACTCAATAATCGACCGACTCATGGAATTGTTTGCTGAGTAAAGCTGCATCTGCTGAATTTGTTGAGGAATCTTCTAAGAAAATTGGACCTACATCTTCGAACGGCGACCAGGGAGTTTGGATTTTCCATGGGCAGTGATCAGATAGCGAGGTGAATTACGGTGGACAACGACCTCCGACAGGTCGAACGGTATGCGAGGGAGATTACAAAGGATTTCCCACCACTTTATAAGAGACCAAGAGGGCAAATAAATTGCAACAGACTGCCAGTTTGGAGATGCATTAAATACATTCCGTAACTGTTGGTGGCACTATGGAAAAGCTGCATCCGGTTTCTCGAAATCAGAGAAAGGAAGTAGTGCTGTATGGTTGTATTACTTTTCTCTACTGCTGCCCGCTGATGAAAATGTGAAAGTCAACACTTTATTTGCAGTGAGTGAATGGACCAAGTCCGATTATCGCGCAAGCGTTGGTGTTATAACTTATAGGATTGAAACACCCCTAAGCGATTTTCATACTACACATGCCAAATACAAGTAAGTGCCTTCGTAGCTGGGCATCGCACGCGTTCAATGCTGAAGTGGTTTTCCGGTGATCCAGTGTGAATAGCCCTGATGTCCTGTTCCGGTGAACGTCTTTTCCATGCGCCATACGGCATCTGCGATATTGTTGAGTAACTTTGTAAGATTCGGACGGTTATGGATCTCACAAGACGATTGCGACTATTGGATTATACGCAGTTCGCGGCTAGTAGTCAATAGGAGCAGACGGGCGTGGGGCGACAGATGACATATTGAGGACTGACAGGAACTGATTCTACAGACAAACGGATTAGCAAGCATCGTGAATTAAGCAAACGTACAATCAACGATGACGCAATCAGTAGGAGCGGAAAGTAGTCACTGACGCAGCACGAATTTCAATAGGAGCACCAGTTAGTAAGTACCATACAATATACAAACATACATATAGGGGCAGTCTGACAGTGTGGATTGGCCGTGATGGCGCAGGAGTCAGTACGTTCGGGATGTGGGGGACTGTCTTTCGGTCGGCGTCGACGCGGCCGCTCGTGTTGCGTGACAGGTCAGATTGCGTGGTTTCAACCGTTTAAAGCAAAGCTCAGTAAGAGCTATCTGGCAGGCACGATACATGGCTAATACAAAATAATCAGTCGCTCTGGCGTCAGGTCGGTGTGGTCGGTTGCGCGTTCGCCTGTCGTCCGGAGGATCTGAGTTCAATACCCGTCGGCCCATTTTTCTGTCGGAGTGGGCACTCAAAAATAGGTGCGATCGAGGCGAACTTGCAGGCAATGACAGACGGGCAACAAATATTGACATTGCTTACTGAGGGATAAGCAGACCTTAAGTAGGAACAAAGCGGGAGGAAAACGAGCAGCAAGAAAACAAAACGGTGTCATATTAAACAGGTGTAGGATTCACAGGGGAAATCAACAGCCCGGATGTCATGTTCCGGTGACAGTTTATTACATACGCCATACGGCATCTTAAAAACACCGGTTGAGGCTAAGAAAGTTCAGTCATTTTTGTTACGACACATGCCATGCGCGCCATTTTTCCTTGGCATAGAAAGCGGTGTCAGCAAGCAGTGTAATGGCCAGATGCTTTTGCCACGCAACCCAAATATTTTCAAAGGCTATTCTTCACCAAGCGGTAACATCCCGTTTCATCTCATCCATGGAAAAACACAAAAACGACCTCGCTATTAAGTGATACGTGCTCGTCGAGTATACAGTGCTTTGCCAGTTAACATTTCAGCTTACTAAAGTTGGTATCCTAGGGTTTGACGGCTGTGTCCGTCAAAACGTTCAGAAGGTGAGTCACGTTGATCGGAAAACTAAATGGCCGGGAAACGGGGCCCTTATTGCCGCTAGCAGAAGAAAAGGCAGGCTGCATCAATTCTGATGTGCAAAGTTGGGATCCAGTTTCATACTACGGTCCAGCAGAATGTTGCAGTTTAAATGACGTTTGCTCCATGTTTGAGGTGTAATGGGCTTCAGAAAACCTACACATGCGAAGTGGTGCTCTTAAAGAGTTGGTCGCCTCTAGCTCTTGGCAAGCTATTCACAAAAACGGGCTTGCTCGGGGTGCGAAGGCTGTTTGCAAATAGTCTGAAATGTGTCTAGGTTTACGGGGTATCCGAAAGCTCAGAACACAGTTTTAACACGCGTTCGATAATTTCATTCGGTTTGCCGGCTACGATGATGGGTTTGTGTCTAGGGACGAGAAGGCTTAGTTTTTGGAGCGGAAATTTAATTGGGCGGACAGTCTGTGGTTCGAAGGCAACGTCTCTCTCTCGACTTCTGTTTACTTTTGGGTTACTTAACAGTATCTCAGTCCTTGTGTCTTCCTCCGGTGGCATTCACCGATTCACGGATTGATACACAGGATCGAGGCTTATGCCCAAGTTTCCCGGATCGCTTTTGTTCTTGTCGTTCAGCGGCTGTCGTTTACCTGAAAGGCACTGCTCTTTATGTTCTCAGCGCGGAGCAGTATGCTCGCCAGAGCGAGGATTCGCATGAATAAACGTCTACCAGTGCTTTAGACTGGGTTCTGGAAGGAACGTGAACAACCGCCTGAGGAAAGTCATTCCACGCACCTACTACCCGAAATGAGAAAAAATTTGTCTAATGAATGTGTGTGCTCTGAGTTTGAAAATTTTCATACTATGTCCCGCCGGGTGTTTGCTGGTTCAACGGTAAAAAAAACCTGTTTACCAAGCTTTGTTCAAACAGGGCGTAAGTAAGAATTTGGTCCCGTCGGAGGCGACGGTACTCCAGGGGAAAGAGATCAAGCATCACGAGGCGCGTTTCGTAGTCCACGGATTTGAAGCCGGCAACAATTCTCATGGCGGCCCGCTGGACACCTCAAATGAGAATGACGCCTTTTGCGTCCTGAGTAGACAGTTTGGTTGGCGTATTCCAGGAGCGCTGTGACGTAGGCCCCATAGAGTATTTGGAAGTCCATGCGAGTAATACGGGAGAAGGTGCGTCGGATCATCCGTAAAATGGCGAATGCCTTTTGGGCCGATTTCTCATGGTGCAGTGGGAAGGACGAGTTTGAGGAGACCCAGATTCCCAAATCCTTTTTGGTATCTATCCTCGTGGGGTTTTCTGGTCCTTTCTCACCATGCATAACAAAGGCATTCACTGAGTCTCCTCCAAACGACACATGGGCGTACTTTTCATCATTCAGAGGAAGGTGCCAGTCCAACGACCACTGCTTTGTAGCGTCTACATGCATTTGGAGGGCACTGGAACTGGAACTCCAGGATTTCAAGTCGTCCGCAAAAAGTAGACGTGGACTTGCAAGAACATCTGGGAGGTCGTTGACGTAGATCAGAAACAGCACTGGTCCTGTAGTGGTCTGGCTACCCAATAAGTTAGTTTACCAGGAGTGTGTGGCAAAGAAATAAAAATGATTACGCTAGATTAGGTATACAAAAATAAAGAGATCAGATGAAACAGACTCACTAACAATTGTTCTCTTTGAAATAATTCGTCATTGGCCCAGGTCACCGAATGAACACTAATCCAATTATGTTGGTCCAGACGTCTTCTTCTGAACAGTTCCCACATATAATAGATTCCGAAGATGTCTGAAATGTTTTGGTACCAGAGTTAGTACATGAGACTCGCGAATGACCGCTGCAAGCGCGAGGGAAATCAGAAGAGAGAGTCAAAGCACGTGACCACGCTTGTATTATCTGAAATTGTACAAGTTCGCGTTTTTATAGTTTTTCGTATTTAAACAAAAAACGATTATGCAATTGATGAAATACGTATTGTTATAATGGAAGTAAAATAAAGGTACAAAACGCCACCGTCTCAGGACGGAGCCTTGAGTAACTCCGATGGAGACCGGAAAAAGGAGGAACGGCCGCAACGCCCGGTATTCCCAGCTGGTCACCCATGCAAGTACTAACAGGCCCCAACGTTGCTTAACTTCGGTGACCAGACGAGAACCGGTGTTCCAACATGGTAGTAAAATAAAGGTACAAAACGCCACCGTCTCAGGACGGAGCCTTGAGTAACTCCGATGGAGACCGGAAAAAGGAGGAACGGCCGCAACGCCCGGTATTCCCAGCTGGTCACCCATGCAAGTACTAACAGGCCCCAACGTTGCTTAACTTCGGTGACCAGACGAGAACCGGTGTTTCCAACATGGTATGGTCTTGGCATCAAAGGGGTGATACGGCTGGACTGTGGCTGCTTGATTCGAGGTGGTCTTGGACTTTGAAACAGATGCAACAACTGCCTCCATACGTTTACCTTGGTTCAGACCTGGATAACCAAGCGAATTAGCGTAATTACATTCCCGGACGACTCGACACCTATTTCTGGAGATGCATCCAACTTGGCATCATGGTAAATCCCCTTTATTTACTTGCTCCGCCTGAATGTTCACCGACTCCCATTTGTCGTTCTCCATTACAGCTTCTATGTTCGCTGTTCGTCTTGCCGCAACGACTGCCTTATCATACACTGAAGTACTAACGTATGTGTGTCAACGATCTATCTATACACACCTCTAAATATGGTAATAGCCAAAGAAATGTGGTAAGTAAAAACAGATGCGTGCCAAATTAAACCACCCATGTTTGCAGGCGGGAATACTACGCAACCGAGGCTAATCGGACTGGTGGCCGTTTTACATGTCGTCAACCGTGTTGATGAAAACCGATGCATATTTACACACTCGTCACACATTTTTGATGGCAAAGGATGTGGAAGGAATAAAGGCTCGCCGGGGATTAATAGCGCCGTTCGAGGATATATTTTAGTGCGGGATACACTTAAAAATGCGGCATTTGAGCTGGCTAAACCAGAAATATTCATTTAGTAAACAATTATGCCCTAAGTTTTTCTTTTGACCGGACTTGAAAAATATCCGCGGGTAACTTAAAGCGGGCTTAGGTAACGCGGCTAAAACTCGACTGCATTTGCTTGCACATCTATCATATGACCTTATGTGTTCCCCTTCCTCTCTCTCTCCCTATTGCAGGTACCACGGACGAGCCAACACAAGCCCTGGACAAGAAAGAGTAGCCCGCTTATACACCCCCTGACTAACCTTGCCCATATTTGCACCCCTGACTTCCGGTTTCGGTTGAATACACGTGTGTTTTTGCTAGATCTGGTCTTCTTTCCTTTGTCACTCGACCTGTGCGAATTTGTGCTGTGCGTGCCGTGTGGATTCAGTAATACTAACCTCTATATCTGCACATTTCAGAACCGACGTGTGACGTCGCTACATCCTCTCGAACGCCGAATACCGCTGACTTCCTGACGTCCCACACAACACTTACCTCACTCATATACCGAGGCATTTCCTGCAGTTCCGGTTTGGCCCTTGAATTATTGAGAGTGCAAGGCTGTAACTTGAGTACATCATTATCCATGGACCTGTAGCAGAAGCAAACAGGCGAGCGTTGGAATGTCTTCGGGTTAACTTCTTATAGAACACATGCCTACAATTCTTAGCATGTTCCCACGAGACGTACCCTCTGTATAATGCATTTCCGAGGCTGATGATAACTGTCCTAATGCGTGGGTTCTGTGCTTGAGGGAAGTTCACATGGACATGAGGAGGAACAGCGGCAAAAACGCTGTTGTGTGGTGTGGCTTTGTGCCTGGACGCTTCATGTGCGCGGCACAATGCTAGGCAGCGCTGATCCCTGATTTCAGTTTCCCTGGATATGACCACTGCTGGATCTCTGGCCCCACCTGTATTTGCAAGTTGCCGATGATCCACCATAAGTGAAGACTTTAACTTGTGGGTTTACCGACTCCGGTAACCTTTGTATATTCTTGAAGAACGGACAGATACTCCGTGATGATTATGCAGTGGATCTTCGCGGTTGTTTCGAGTGCTAGGAAGTGTTACATTGTCAGTACAGAAATTTGCTTCCCAAACGAGTGAGTAAACCAGTGATTCAGAGTAAAGACAAGAGAGGGTCGAATGATGCAGCTGTGCGCAGTAAGGTATTCTTACACCAGACATAGGATTCGTCGGATAGAGAGTGATATACTGTCATCGTGCGTAATACTCCCAACGAATATTGCTAAAAACCCAAAATGAGAGCACGGAGCTCTACCCGAAAGTGCCACACCTAATAGATTGTGCGGTGACATCGTGGAGAAAGGCTGTCTTCAACCACATCCCGATCTCCATCATTTGCAACAGTGGCAGTTCACAGAATCTAAGAAATCACGTACTCTGATGTTTAAACGGTGGGGGCGAAATATCAGCCGGTTTACCGGGTAAGCAGTGTAAATCTGGCTATCACTGTTACTACAGTTGAGTTTTAAGCTACGTGGTTACGCGCCTTCTTGAGCCATAATACGCCTCAGCCAATTTTTTCAACATGTATCCGGGGTCAAATTCTATGTGATCATTAGTTTCAGCGTCCGCCGCTGAGCTTGAAAGCTTTGTTAAAGGGGTTTTATCTAATTAACGACTAAAGTAAGCAATTCAAGAGTAGCAAACGTAGTGTAAACGATCATCTCTCTTGAGCAGTATAGCAAGCTAAATTGTTACACGTCTGGTATGGCCCATTGAACCAGCACGCCAGTTCAAACGGTTTTCCTGCGGTCGTCGTGGTGGTAGCCAGACGTCGCTTTGGCAGTAAAGGTCTATTCATATCCTACCAAGTCATTGTTGTGCCGCAATCAAACATCAGTGTTCTCCGTCGGGGTTGCGTACAGTGTACATTATGAGGATGATGGGGATCACCTCTTCCTTCTTGTTCATCTTCCAGGTGTACATGACAACTTGCAAATGATGCGTACGTCGTAGTGAGTCAGAAGTTATCTACGATATCAGATTAACTTTGTCGAACTTTGACGTGGGATGGAGAAGATATCGGATGTGTGCATCAAGACTTACATATGCAGTATGTTATTGGTCTACTAGAACCCGAAAATTAGTCATAAGAACGAGAAAACGGGGAGCACTAACAATGTTCGCTTGTTGAGTAAAATTATTACAACAGGTATATATGCAAACAAGGAACTTATCGTTTTGCAGGTACAGGTTGATAAGTCCTGTTGTAAGTCCGAATGCAGGTTTTGTGTCTGCCTCGCTGTTGTAGCAGCCGCACGTATTCCTGAGTATCCGTAATTGAAGTGCCGTAAGTACTGAGCGGCTCTGCTCCGAGTTGGGTGACGTGCGAAGCTCTGCTGAGTTGTGTTGTGTTGCTGTGCCGTTGTCCTACATGTAGGGACGTTTGCGTGTGTGTGGGTGTCAGCACATGACTTGTTGCTACCTGATCGGACGGTAGACAGTCGATGTCAGATGAGTCACCCTTGTGTGTCGTGATTTGTACTTGTGGGGAAAGGAAGGCGAGTCTTGGGACCAAGGGATTGACTGTGAGCTGTGTAGTCAAGTGAGTCACGATTCCGTGGCGTGATATTGTTAGTGAAAAAAGAAAGACAGATTTCGTGATTTAGCGAGTGTCGGGAATAGAGCAATGAATAGAGCATCAGTCATGTTCATCACATCCGCCACACCTTGAATGAGCGTGCGGGTGTTTATAGTCCAGTGGTTCTTGACCGCAATCTTTCGGATCTTCTCGGAATGGAAACTTCAGAATCTTCACAGGTAGTACGTTCTTCAGATACAGCATTTTGTTCGGATACCACAAGATCATCTACAAAGGACTCATTAGTATTTGAAACAGCAGGAGTGCCGTTAACAGACTGACCTCTGGTATTGAACTCAACCTGGTCAATGTGTCTCCGACGACAAGAGAGATCATCCAAACCGAGAATTGTGAACATTCGTTTGCCAGCTGATGAAAGTACTATTCCTGTAGCAAGTCGTAAATCATTACCCTTAAAAAATGTAACATCAGCCGTTTGGCACAGTCAAGACTTGTACGCAACGAACGAGATTTAAATAGAAGCGCGGGACTCTTCCCAGTAACGGAATGGACGGCGTTCCTGTATTGCATTGGAAAATTATCAATCCCACGGTCCAATTCCACAAAAGTAGTAGGAGAAAGTGAAATAATGGCAGACTTAAGTGTTCGGACAAAATTTTCAGCAAGTCCAGACTGGGGATGTCGCGGAGCAGTGAACAGATGTCGACGTCCAAGACCCTTCAACCATTCCTCGAGGAATTTTGCAGTGAAGTGTGTGCCGTTATCAGTGACCAAAATAGCTGGTACACCTTCATAGCTGAATACGTTCCTCAATCTTGCTGAGTGAATTCGGCACTTGGAGACGTAGTTAGAAAAACTTCAGGCCAACGTGAATATGCGTCAATAACGACTAAAGCGTGGCGTTTGCCGAGAAAAGGACCACAGTAGTCGGTGTGAACTCGTTGAAACGCTTGACGAACAGGCCCGTGTAAGCTAAATGGAATAACCCGTCTCCTAAGAAATATGGGCTCTCCTGTAACTTCGAGCCTCACCTTGGGAATTTGCATGCCACTTGAAGCCTTAGAACATTTCAGAATCAGTTGTTTGAATTCATTCTCATTCACAGAAGTCAGTAAGGTGATACTGGTTTGCGGTAAGCGTAGAACTTTGAGTCCGATAATCGACGGTCCCGTTGTTGAAACCAAAAAATTACAATCTATAGAGGTATCTTGGGGTAACCTTACAGGGATCGTTCAACGACCAACTAAAGATACAGAATGTTCAGTGATACCGCGAATGT